ATAGATAAAAGACTTAAATGTAAGTTGTGAGACCATAAAACACAGAAAACATAGGCAGTGAAATCTCAGACATCTCTTATAGCAGTTTTTTTGCTGATATATCTCCTAGGTCAAGGGAAATAAAAGGGAAACAAAGGCACAAATGGAACGAAACTAAATAGAATTAAACTAAAAAGCTTCTGCGCAGCAAAAGAAACCGTCAACAAAATAAAAAGGGAACCCACTATATGAAACAACATATTTGCCAATGATACATCTGATAAGGGGTTAAATTTTCAAAATATATAAAGAACTTATACAACACAACACCAGGAAGACAAACAATCCAATTAAAAAATGGGCAAAGGACCTGAACAGACACTTCTGCGAGAGGACATACAGATGGCCAACAGACATATGAAAAAGTGCTCAGCATCACTAATCATCAGATTCAAATTAAAACCACAATGAGGTGTCACCTCACACCTGCCGGAATGGCACCATCAACAAATCAACAAACACCAAGTGCTGGTGAGAGTGTGGAGAAAGGGGAACCCTTTTGTACTGTTGGTGGAAATGCAGCCACCGTGGAAAACAATATGGAGTGTCCTCAAAAAATTAACAATGCAACTGCCTTTTGACCAGAGATCTCACTTTTGGGAATGTATCCTAAGAATTGCAAAACACCAATCTGACAGAATATATGCACCCCTATAGCCAAGATCTGGAAACAGCCCAAGTGTCCATTAGTAGAGGAGTAGATAGAAAAGCTCTGGGACATTTATAAAATGGAATGTTATGCGGCGGTAAAAAAGGAGGAAGTCTCACTTTTTGCGACAGGATGGACTGACCTGGAGATTATTATGCTAAGTTAGATAAGCCAGTCAGAGAAAGATAAATACCATATGATCTCACTTATATGTGCAATCTAACGAACAAAACAAACTGATGAACAAAATAGAAGCAGAGGCCTGGATGCATGGAACAGACTGACAGCTGTCAGAGGGAGGAGGGAGGAGGAACTGGATGAAAGAAGGTGGAGGGATTAGCCAAAGCACATGTATGCACAGCCCATGGACACAGACGACAGCGTGCTGAGGGCCAGAGGAGGGGGCAGGGAGGCAGGGGCGAGGCGGAAGCAGGCAAAGGGGGTGAAAATGGGGACATAATGTAATAGTTTCAACAATTTAAAAAAACCAATTAACCGGCTCCAAATGTGGGGGAGGAAGCGGATGGTCAAATCGTTGCCCACTTCCCCTTTGGGACAGAACAAAGGTTTCAGAGGCCGGGTAAAATGTCCTAAAACCTAAGTTTGTTCTGAGGTGCAGAAAAAAAGTAGGCTTAAAGGATTTGTAAATAAAATTTGATTTTCCCCTTGGAATTGCTGATCATTACTCATTTGATTGTTACCTATTATTTGAAACACTGCAGCTCAACTTGTAGGATTTTTATATGAAGTTTGTCTAATTTTAGCTATAAAAAAATCAGGGAAGGAAAAATCCTCAGATGTGAGCTGAGAAACAGAATAAGGCAGGGAGCAAACTTTTTCCATAATGGGCCACATAGTAAACATTTTAGGCTGTGCAAGACTAAAGAAAAACTCACTTCTCACTGTGTCTCCTTTCATTTCATACTACACTTAATACCTCACTTCTTTTCTTTAAAATTGATTTTAGGGAAAGGGAGAGGGAGAGAGGAGAGAGGAGAGAGGAGAGAGGAGAGAAGCATCAATTTGTTGTTCCACTTATTTATGCATTCATTGGTTGATTCTTGTATGCACCCTGACCTGGGGTCAAACCCACAACCTTGGTGTATTGGGATGACACTAACCAACTGAGCAACCCAGCCAGGGCCAGTACTTCATGTCTGACGTTTCTGGCCACAGATGTGTGTGTGTGGAGGGGGTTTTCCCCCCCACTAAACAATTATCAGCTTTTCTGGATACCAGCTGGGTGTTCTACAGTTTAACTCAGTCTGACACTACCTACCCGGAGACAGCATCTCCGACAGGTTATGGGCTTAGTTCCACAAGACACCTCCCCACCTCCTACTCCCCTACTTCAAATGCCAATGGCAAGTCCAAGGGGTCACCTGTGTTTCTGACAGCTATAAACTGGAGGTTCTCTCGACCCCTTCCTTGGTTCGATTTTGCCGGAGCAGCTCACCGAATTCAGGAAAACAGGTTACTTACTAGATTAGTTCCTTATTACAAAGGATATTAAGGGGTACAGCCGGATGAAGAAATACATAGAGGTGGGTCCAGGAGGGTCCTGAGCACAGGAGCTTCTGTTTCGTTGAGTTCGGGGTCTGTCACCCTCCCAGCACAGGGAGGCGTTCTTGTTCGCCAACCTGGAAGCTCTCTGAATTCATTCTTCTAGGATTTTGTGGAGGCCTCGTTACATAGGCAGGATCGATTTAATCATGGCTCGCTGGAGATTGGTTCAACCTCCAACACCTCTCCCCACCAGGTGAGATATAACTGACATATAACATTGCGTAAGTTTAAAGTGTACAACGTGTTGGTTTGATATATTTACATATTGCAAAATGATTACCATTATGGCATTAGCTAACATCACCACACGTCTCATAATTACCCCCACCCTTTTTTTTTTTTTTGGTGGTGAGAACACTTAAGATCTATTCTCTTAGCAACTTTCCAACCCACCAATCATAGGTTGGTCCTTATGGAAACCGCCACTGGTTATCTCATTGGTATATTAAAAACACTCTTATCACTGAGGAAATTCCAAGTATGTTAGGAGTTCTATCCCAGGAACTGGGGACAAAGACCAAACATTTTTTATTGTACCATAGAGACAAAAATCAACCCCTCATTCGTACAAGCTTTCTCCCCACCACACTCTCAGAGATTACACAGAACACACCTCAGAAAATTGGTACTTCTGCTTAGAAAGACTGTTCCTGAGACTGACTTTTAGTTAGGACAGAAACAGCTTCAAGCCCAAGGAGGCACTGACTGAATGATCTTATTCAGAACTTCTGCTGCCAGTGATTGCAGGCTGGCAAATGTGGACCAACCCTCCAGCCGAAGACAATAAGAAGTCTGCGTGGAATGCACATTAAAAAGCGTATCTTCAAGCACCAAAGATCTCAGTGCTGGTAAGAAATCACTGCAGTGGAATCTACAAAAGTTGAGCCCTGGCTGCATAGCTTTGCTGGTTGGGCGTTGTCCTGAGGTGCCAAGGTTTCTGGTTCAATCCCTGGTCAGGGCACGTGCAGGAATCAACAGTGAGTGCATGGATGGGTGGAACAACAAATCCCCCCCCTCAAGTGAATAAAAAGGGGGGGAAAAAAGTTGAACCCATAGAAACAGAGACAGGTGGCAGGGGAAATGGGGAGACACTTGTCAAAGGCACAAACTTCCAGTTTAAAGATGAGTAAGTTCTGGGGATATAATGTACATCATGGTTACTATAGTTAACAATACTGTACTGTGTACTTGAAAGTTGCTGAAAGAGTACATTTTATGTGTCTCACCCCCCAAATAAAGTAATTATGAGACATGTGGAAGTGTTAGCTAATGCCATGGTGGTAATAATTTTGCAATACACTTTAAATTTACACAATGTTGTATGTCAGTCATATCTCAGTAAAGTGGGGGGGGGGACTGGGAAAGCTAAAGAGGGGGGAAAATCACTTCATGGAGACTAGGAGAGGATGGGGCTCCAGAGAGGAGAGCCAGACACTCCGGCTGGCTTTTCCCTTGAGATGGTCTAGAAGAGGCAGCTGAGTGACTAATATGAGCTTTAGCTGTCTGCAGACTCCGGAATGAAGAGTGAGGGTCAGGGACTCCCCTCTTTGGGTTGACTCCCCAGAGGAATGTCTCTTAGAAACAGAGGAGAACTGGAAGCAAGCCAAGGAGTATCTGGACTGCAGCTGGGTTTCCCATCACTGGAAGGCCCAGAAAAAGCTCATGTACCTACAGTACATTACTATGAGACAAAGTAGACTTTAATGCAAAAACATATCCAGAGATAACAAAGGTAACTTCATAAACATAAGATATTCAGGGCACCAGGAAGACATAACAATGTTGAATATTTGTACTCAACAGCCCATTGATTGAACTACAAGCAGAAATAGACAAATTCACTTCCACTCTGGATGATTTTAACATATTTCACTCCACGATTGATACAACATGGAGACAAAAAAAATCAGTTAAAAAATAAGATTTAAATGTGATTTTAAAACTTGACCTATTGGACATATACAGAAAATGCACTCAATTTACAGAATTACACATTTATTAAAATACACATTTATCTTCCATCACAGACTATGTACTAAGTTTGACCACAAGTGCTACAAAGGCAAGTCTCAATAAATTTCAAAGAATTAAAATTATACAGGGTATTCACAATGCAATATATTAGAAATCAATAACAAAAGCATGAAGAGATCCTATATATACCTGGACATTAAGAAATGCACTTTTATATAACTCATGGATTAAATTAAAAAAATCTCAATTGACTTTATTCAAATCTATTTCTCTGTAAAGATTCTAGCAGAAAGGAGAAAAAATAAAGAAAAAGATGGAGGTGACTCAAAGGGGAGGGTGAAATGAGACTTGATTTAATCAATATATTAATACGGAGGCAAATGAACATTTACTACAAGTTTACTAACACATGGATTGTGCACCCGCTAATTATTCATTAAATTTTACTAGTGCTTAATAAACATATACATTAAATTATCTCATATATCCCAATATATGAGAAATATTCCCAATATCACTATTAAGTGTGTAATTAATATTACTCTGCCCATTTTGAAGATGTTGAACTGAACTCAGAGTTAATTAGTTGATAAACGACAAGTAGTAAAACACAGAACAGCAGGATTTAATACAAAACTATTTGACTAGGAAGTCCACGGTTAACCACTTTGCTAGGAGAACTGAATTATGGAAGAGTCATGATTTCTGGCATACCCGGTATTTTATTCCCTTTGACTCATCTAGAAGCACACACCCAAGGCAGATGACAGAATCATGAAAAGGAACCTGTTCTAGGGATGAATTTCCTTAAAGCTCCCTGTATGTCTCTATTCCTCAGGCTATAGATGAAGGGGTTCATCATGGGAGTGACCACTGTGTACATCACCGAGGCCACTGCCCTCCTCCTGGGGGAGAGAGAGGCTGCAGAACTAAGGTAGACTCCAACACAAGTCCCATAGAACAAGAGAACAACAGACAGGTGAGACCCACAGGTGGAAAAAGCTTTATACTTTCCACCAGCTGATGGGATTCTCAGGATGGAGGAGACAATTCGAGTGTAAGAGAAAATTATCCCAGAAAGGGGACCAATACCCAAAAGGATAGTCACTAAATACATCAGGATGTTGTTGATGAGGGTATCAGAACAGGCAAGTTTGAGGATCTGAGCGAGATCACAGAAAAAGTGCGGGATTTTCAAGTCTGAGCAGAAGGACAGATGCAGCACCATCAGGCTGTGGAGCAGGGCGTTCATAAGGCTAATGACCAGGGAGACAAGGACCAGCAGGCCGCAGAGGCCTGGGCTCATGACGGCCGCGTAGGTCAGAGGCTGGCAGATGGCCACATAGCAGTCGTAAGCCATCGCGGTCAGGAGTAAATTGTCCATACACATAAAAAACATGAAAAAATATATCTGAGTGAGGCAGCCTGCGTAGGTGATGGCTTTGTTTTTTGTCTGGATGTTGACCAGCATCTTGGGGACTATAGTGGAGGTGAAGCAGATGTCCACCAAGGACAGGTTGGACAGGAAGAAGTACATGGGGGCGTGGAGGCGGGAGTCAGAGCCGACGGCCACAATGATGAGGAGGTTGCCAAGCACGGTGACCAGGTACAGGGACAGGAACACTCCACAGAGGAGGGGCTGCTGTTCTGGGTCCTCTGAGAGACCCAGGAGCAGGAATTCTGCTACGCCTGTTTGGTTTTCTGATTCCATGTTGTTGATGAGTCTGCTGGAAAATAGAGAGGTGAGTTAGAATGAAACAGACACTACTTGTTTGACACAAGTCTTTTAGCTGTGCCTTAAATTCTAGTACTAGAATTTAAACAATTCTTCCCTTCAGGTTTCTCTACTCCTTCCTTCCTTCACCAAGACATTTTTGAGTGACTTGTATGCATCATATATTTTTCTAATGCTATAATTAAAAATGAAAACGAGTGCTGTTTTATTTTATTAAGGAGCTATCATGGCCACATGCCATTTTAAAATCTGGGATTAAATTCTAGTTCCTTCATATGGCATCAAACCTGGTTAGATGACTTCATTGTCTCAGAGAGCCTTACCACACACTCCAAGCATACATTTTAAAAAACAAAACACCTGATTTTAGAGAGAGAGAGAGGAAATGAGAGAAGCCCTGACTTGTTGTTCCACTTATTTCTGCATTGATTGGTTGATTCTTGTATGTGCCCTGACTGGGGATGGAACCCACAACCTTGGCATATCGAGATGATGCTCTAACCAACTGAGCTACCTGGCCAGAGCCCCTCCAAACACTCTTGAGTACATTCAAACCCTGGCATCTTTGCAGAGAAATCTTCTCAAAGGTGCCAGTGAAGGTCCAGCACATCCCTGTGGATCACTTCAGTGGCACTCTACCCAATAAATGCCCAAGTCCTCACTCTGGCATTCAAGTTCCTCCATTACCTGACCCCTGTAATAACTGCACAGGAGGTGATGTACTTCCAGCAATCACCACCCCATAAAACTAACGCTCCACCTCATGGCTGAGTCAAGAAATTTTCAAGAGTGAATAATTCCAAGAGCTGGTGTGCAAATGCCTGCATGGAACATTATGGATGAAAAGGTGTCATTTTCTGCTCTAATCAAAACTGAACTATTCATTTCAGGATGTGTGCTTCAGAAGGACACATATTCTTTTATTATTTTTATTTCTTTATTATTTTTTTTTGGGGGGGGGCACATATTCTTCACAGAAGTGAAGGGAGGATGGTATGCATGGGGTCCTGAGGCAGGAAAGGAGATGAGTGAGCTTTTTTGCCTCTCCCCTCATACTGGATGGAGAGCGAGAGAGCTGCTGAATTAGCCAGAGCTAACATTCGGGTCACTTTACAGGATCACAGCTCACACAATAGTTTATGAGGGAGGAAAAACATAGCCTATTGCTGAGAGAGAGAAAAGAAGTTGAGCAAAGTTCATAGGGCCTCTCTGTCCCTCAAATAAATAAGATGCCTTGTGCATTAAACAAGAAAAGGTCTCACTGCAAGGGACATAGTGGGCACTTAAGAAATGTCAGCTATAATTGTTGCCATGGTTATTATTTTTATTAATAGTTGCTGCAGTAGGCTGTATCGAAATGCTGAGCTTGGTTTAGGGTCTTTCTTTCCCCTTCACTTTCCCTATACACAGGCTGTTATCTGTTTCAACAGACACTGCTCTGGAAACACGAATGGAGGTTATACATTTGGAAAATTTTAAACACCAAGAAAGAGACTTTAAAATTTTTCTGTGTTAGAATGCTAAAGAGTTTCTCAAAAAATTAAAATTGAATTACCATTTCCAATAAGTCCACGCCTGGGTATCTGTCCAAAAGAAGGGAGAGCAGGGTCTCAGAGATCTTTATACACACACGTTCCCAGCAGTTATTCGTGATGGCTGAGAGATGGGAGCAACCCAAGGGCATACTGAAGATGAATGTGCAAGCACAATGTGAAATATACATACGATGGAATATTAAATGTTATGCAGCCTTAAAAAGAAAGGAAATTCTGCCCTGGCCTGAGAGCTCAAGGTTGGAGCGTCATCCACACGTGCCAGGGTTTTGGATTCGATCCCTAGTCAGGGCACATACAGCAAGCAACCAATGAATGTGTAAGTAAGTGGAACAACTAATCAATGTTTCTCTCTCTCCCCCCTTCCTCCCTCTCTAAAATCAATCAATCCATCAATCCATTTTTTTTTTTTTTTTAAACTTGGGGCAAAAAACACAGATTGCTGGGCCCATCCCCAGTTTCAGCACGTATAGAAATTGCATTTCCAAGAACTTCTCAGGTAATGCTGATTACTGCTGGCTGGGCAGGCTGCATAATTTTCAGGCTCCAGTGCAAAATAAAAATGGGGGGGCCCCTTGTTCAAAAATTTCAAGACAGTGACAACAGAGCTTAAACCAAGTGCAGGGTCCTCTGCAAGGGCTCTGGTGGCAAGCCCATGAATCCAACTCTGGTTGCTGGCCTGGGGACAGTGTTCTGAGTACCATAGATTCAGATTTCCTACTTAATTACCCTGGGACTACCTCCAAGTGGGGATAATAATTATAATAAGTAAGTTGCCCCCGGCCCTCCAGAACTTACAAGGGATTTCTGGATCTCCAGATGACCCAACAGAATATCACTGAGGTGGAGTTTCTTCCAAGAATTCACATGAATGTTGAGGACAAATTGGCCTTCGAGAATCTCAGGGAGACAAGACACATTCTTTAAAAAGAGACAAGGTATCTTTCTTCATGCCTGGCAGGGGTGATTGTGTTAATAGGGGACAGGTGTTCTTTTATAGTTTTGTTCTCACCCTAGGGGCCTTATCTCCAAAGCTCCTCATTAGCCAAATTGCTCTCTCTTCATGCCAATCCTGCAGCAGAAGGAAGGGAACTGCTGGCTTGCCAATCACCTGCGAGAGGAGAAGCAGGTGCCCTTTGCTCTCTCCCGCCTCTGTTCTGCTCTAGAGTTAAAGCTCACAGCCTGGGGCTGACCAGGATGCCCAACGGCAAAGACAGTGCCCTTCACCAAGTACCACTCCCTTTTCCAGAGGCAGTTTCCCAGACGTCGGTCATCCCTGACTGTCTTCATGGTTGTTGCCAATACTCTCATTGACTTGAAAGTTGACTCTGTTGGTTTACATTTTAATTCAGTCCAATCCTGAGCAAAGTTTGTGTGTGTGTGTGTGTGTGTGTGTGTGCGCGCGCTGTTGATATCCAGTTGACCCTTGAACAACACGGGGGTTAGGGTCCCTGATCCCCTACACAGTGGAAAAATCCACATATAACTTTTGACTCCCCCAAAACTTAACTACTGTTGACTGGAAGCCTTACCAGTAACATACAAGTTTATTAACACATATTTTGTATGCTACATGTATTATAAATTGTATTCTTACGATGAAGTAAGCTATAGAAAAGAAAATGTTATTAAGAAAATCATAAGGTGCCGGGGGGGGGGAGTGGAGGAAGGTGTAGGGGGATAAATGATGATGGGCAGAGACTTGACTTGGGGCGGTGAACACACAATACAGTGTACAGATGATGTGTTGTAAAATTGTGTATCTGAAACCTGTATAATTTTGTTAACCAGTGTCACCCCAATACATTCAATAAAAAGGAAAAAAAGGAAGCCATAAGGAAAACACAATTACATATATTTATGTATTTATTTTAAAAAATTGGGTATAAGTGGAACCGCACAATTCAAATCTATGTTGTTCAAGGGTCAACTCTATTTTAAAATACACATTAAAATATGGAGTATTTAAAATACTCTCTGCGTCCCATTTTGAAAATACTAATGACTGCATTGCTACGGCTTCTAGATTTTTGCTTCAGGTGCACCTGCCAGGTAGCCTCCTCTGACACTCACCCTAGGGGAGGGTTCTTGGTTTGGGGCTTTCTCATGGGTGCTCTAGTCACTGATGGCCCTCCCCTACGGCTATACTGAGGTCCAGGACTTTGGCAATTATCTGATGAAAGGGCACTTCACCCTCTAAACTACAACTCCAAGAGAGCAAGGACTTAGTTTTTGCTCACCATGGCTTAACACAGTGTCAAACCCAAATAGGAGCTGATTAAATATTACTGGTATGAATCAATAAATTGTTTCAACCTCTGAGTTAGGTGCTATTATTATACCCATGATGGAGATGAAGAAACCGATGACTAGAGGCAATGGTTTAGTGGGAAGTCAGTAAAAGTTATGATTTGTAGCACTGACCTCTTTCTGTGGCGTAAATTCTTTCACACAGTCCATTTCAAGCTACCAATGGGCAGTCACTGAAGGCAGAGTTGGGGAGAGGTTGCAAGATCAGCTCTGCAGAACAGACTTCAGTTTACCACCTAAAGGAATTCTGTATTCTTCAAACTCCTCAAGCTGAGCCATGCCTTAAGGCCTTTGTACCAGCATTTCTCTCTTGAAGCTTCTCCCTAATCTTCCCATAGTTGGCTCTACGGGAAGTAATTCAGGTCATCAAATTTAACAAAACAAAAAAAACCACCACTTCAGACACTAGTAAAGAAAGACTTTACTAAGGGGGACTGTTGCAATGGGAAGATGTGCGAAGTGTAGGCCAGAACAGGGAAGGGCAAAGCTTAAATATTCAGAGGCAGATGGCTGGAGAAAGAGGAAGTGGAGTGCTAAAAACTGTTACATTGGCGGTTGTGTGCATTGAAACTTAACAAACTGTGCTAAATATTGCAATAACAGGAAAGATAAAGCCAGAAACATTTGTTCTGAGGCACATGGGGGAGGGGGGAGATCTGGGCCTGAGCAGACAGGTTACGGTGCTGCAAGATCACATAGAATTCAGGGCCTTGCTGTCTTAGTCAACCAGCCTGAGTTCCTTTAAGCACTAAATTTCATCGGCCTTGTCCAGTTCTCAGCTGGAATGAGAACTGAAAGAATGACAGGGTTCGACTGCCCCCAATCATTCATTATGCCATCGCCATTTACTTTTCTTCCAGCATTTGCCATCTGTTCAAGCTTTCTTACTTATTTGAATGTTCTATATACATAGCATATTTTTTCTTTTACATGTGTTTCTTCAAAATATGTTTTTATTGATTTTAGAGAGAGAGGAAAGGAGAGGGAGAGGGAGAGAGAAACATCGATGTGAGAGAGAAACATTGATCAGCTGCCTCCCTTACCTACTCCGACCTGGGATCGAACTGGAGAACTTTCAGTGTGAGGGACAATGCCCAACCAGCTGAGCCACACCAGCAA